CAACTTGTATTTAGCTCAGACACTCTGATTTCCTTCCCCAAACCTGAAGAAGAACTCTGGGTAGCTCAAAAGCTTGTACCTTTCTCCAACAGAAGTTGGACCAATAAAAGATATCATCTCACCTGCCTTAGCTTTTTTTCATAGAATTTGCACAATTCAATTTCTGGTCCAAAAAAGAGCCAGGACATGAAGAGGGACAAGAAAAAAAAACTTGACCAAAGTTTTCAAAACCTCTAAGCTGAAGGACAGGAAAGACTTCAGATCAGTTTGTAATTGGTCTGAACAAGTTCACCTAAATCTAACTGGAATGGACTTCGATGGGTCCCTAATGTGGAGCTTTGCAGACCAGAAAGCTTAAAAGGGGAAGAGATTAAATTATGAGATTCTGAGAGTATTTTCTGTTAAGGTTCATGTCAAGCCAGACCTACACTGTCTAGTAGAGAAAAACTTTTTGTTAGGGCTGTCACACGATTAAAAAAATTAATCGCAATTAAACACCAATAGCACACCATTTATTTAAATATTTTGGATGTTTTCTACATTTTCAAATATATTGATTTCAATTACAACACAAAATACAACGTGTACAGTGCTCACTTTATATTTATTTTTATTACACATATTTGCACTGTAAAAAACAAAAGAGATAGTATTTTTCAATTCACCTAATACAAGTACTGTAGTGCAGTCTCTTTATCATGGCATTTGAACTTAATTTTACATTTGTATGTACCCAAAAAACCTGCATTCAAAAATAAAATAATTTAAAACTTTACAGCCTACAAGTCCACTCAGTCCTACTTCTTGTTCAGCCAATCGCTAAGACAAACAAGTTTGTTTACATTTTCAGAAGATAATACTGCCTGCTTCTTGTTTACAATGTCACCTGACAGGGGGAACAGGCATTTGCATGGCACCATTGTAGCCGGCGTCGCAAGATATTTACATACCAGATGCGCTAAAGATTCATATGTCCCTTGATGCTTCAACCACCATTCCAAAGGACATGGCGTCCATGCTGATGACGGGTTCTGCTCAATAATGATCCAAAGCAGTGCAGACCAACGCATGTTCATTTTCATCATCTGAGTCAGCCATCACCAGCAGAAGGTTATTTTCTTTTTTGGTGGTTTGGGTTCTGTAGTTTCTGCATCAGAATGTTGCTCATTTAAGACTTCTGAAAGCATGCTCCACACCTCATCCCTCTCAGATTTTGGAAGGCACTTCAGATTCTTAAACTTTGGGTCGAGTGCTATAGCTATCTTTAGAAATTTCACAGTGGTATTTTCTTTGTATTTTGTCATATTTGCAGTGAAAGTGTTCTTAACACAAACAACATGTGGTGGGTCATCATCCGAGATTGCTATAATATGAAATATATGGCAGAATGAGGGTAAAAGAGAGCAGGACACATACAATTCTCCCCCAAGGAGTTCAATCACAGATTTAATTAGCGCATTATTTTTTAAGGAGCATCATCAGCATGGAAGCATGTCCTCTGGAACGATGGTCAAAGTATGAAGAGGCATATGAATCTTTAGCGCATCTGGCATGTAAATATCTTGCGTTGCCGGCTACAACAGTGCCATGAGAACACCTGTTCTCACTTTCAGGTGAAGTAATTAAGAAGTGGGCAGCATTATTTCCCAAAAATGTAAACAAAATTTTTCTCTTAGCGATTGGCTGAACAAGAAGTAGGACTGAGTGGACTTGTAGGCTCTAAAGTTTTACATTGTTTTGTTTTTGAGTACAGTATGTAACAAAAAAAATACATTTGTAAGTTGCACTTTCATAATAAAGAGATTGCACCACTGTACTTGTATGAGATGAATTGAAAAATACTATTTCTTTTGTTTATCATTTTTACAGTGCAAATATTTGTAATAAAAAATAAAGTGAGCACTGTACACTTTGCATTCTGTGTTGTAATTGAAATAGATATATTTGAAAATGTAGAAACATCAAAAATATTTAATACATTTCAATTTGTATTCTATTGTTTAACAGTTGGATTAAGCGCAATTAATTTTTTTGAGTTAATCGCGTGAGTTAACTGCAATTAATCAACAGCCCTACTTTTTGTAAAAGAAAACAAAGCAAAGAGAAATATTTAAATAACTAACTCCAAGAAAGCAAAAATGTTAGTGTTAAAGTTGCATATGACATATATGTCTCCTTTAGCACTTGTGTTCTACTTTTTAAAATGAATTACATTAATATACAAGTCTGTGTCTGTTTTTTACAATACAGAGCCCTTTTTACCCAAATTTTACAAATTTATACAAATTTTACCTTATATTTTTAAGTTTTTATATAGATAAACATACAAGCTAAATTGTGTCTAGTCCTGTGCATGCAGGTTAGGGGGCAGGTCACTTCTTGTCACCCATGCAGAGGCTGGGCAGAACGTTGCTGCTAAGGGCTTATCTGAGCTGTCAATATGATATGGCCATGAAAAAGGCTAATGTAATCCTAAAATGCATCAGGCAAGCTATTGCCAGTAAAGGTAGGGAGGTGTTATTACTATTGTTCAAGGCACTGGTGAGACCTCATCTGGAATCCTGTGTGCAATTCTGGACTCCCATGTTTAAGAAAGATTAATTCAAACTAGAACAGGTGCAAAGAAGGGCTAATTTGGATGATCAGAGGAATTGAGAACCTGCCTTACAAAAGGAGATTTAAGGAACTTGGCTTGTTTATCCTAACAAAACGAAGGATGAAGGGAGATATGATTACTCTCTATAAATACATTAGCAGGATAAACACCAGGAAGGGAGAGGAGCTGTTTAAGTTAAGAGCTAATGTTGGCACAAGAACAAATGGATATAAACTGGCCATCAGTAAGTTTAGGCTTGAAGTTAGACCAAGGTTTCTAACCATCAGAGGAGAGAAGTTCAGGAACAGCATTCCAAGGGTAGTAGTGGGGGTAAAAAAACTAAGTTGATAAGTTAAATTGCGTTGAGATTGCCCTCAATGGCATATGGCCCATCTGCGACTGCTATTAGTAAATATATTCAATGGCTGGAGATGGGACACTAGAGGGGGAGGACTCTGAGTTACTATAGAGAATTCTTTCCCAGGTGTGGCTGGTGGGTCTTGCGCACATGCTCAGGGTCTAACTGATCACCATATCTGGGGGTAGGAAAGAATTTTCCCCCATGTCAGACTGGCAGAAACCCTGAATGGGTTTTGCCTTTCTCTGTAGCATGGGGCACGGGTCACTGGCTCTTTTGATCTACAGTAAATGCTGGAGTCTCTGTAACTTGAAGTCTTTAAATCAAGGTTTGAGGACTTCAGTAACTCAGTTAGAGGTTATGGGCCTATTACAAGAGTGTGGGGGTAAGGTTCTATGACCTGCGATGTACAGAACATCAGATTAGATGATCACGATGACCCCTTGTGGCCTTCAAGTCTATGAGCTCTGCATCCTACCACTCTAGAGAGGAGCAAGGGCATGATTTGGACCACAGAGTGTATCAAAATAGTAGAAGGCCTGGTCTACACTTAAAAATTAGACCAACCTAGCTATGTCGTTCAGGACTGTTAAAAATGTTGCGCCCTGAGTGCTGTAATTAGGTTGACCTAACCCCTGGTATAGACACAACTAGGTCGATGGAAGAGGTGGATTAACTACAACAATGGAAAAACTCTTTATGTCGATATAGGAAACATCAGCAGTATGGTGCCGACAGCTGCGATGCCGTAGCTGTGCCACTGTAGCAGTTGTAATGTAGACGTACACTAAGATATGCGGGACCAAATTCTGTCCTCAGTTATGCCATGAACTCTATATAGACGTCAGTTATGACTTCAGGGTAACCCAGGTGCAACTAAAGACAGGATTTGGCCCATAGTGTAACAATAAAACACAGAAATAAGGACATGGACATCAGTGATACAATAGCTGGCAACCTTAGATCATATACTTAAGATATCTTGAAAATTTCTTAGAAAGGTCTCCAATGTGTCTTATTTACCAGTTGGGGGCTCAAGTATTCTGCATATATTGAGGATTCTGTCTGTTAGCATAGATAATCATAAGCATTCAGCTACAGACTTCCTATTTCCACATATCTATACTACAAAGCTCCAACATCTACAAGGTCTTTACCACATAAGCTAACAAAAATCTGATGTGTAAAGATCTTTATTTATTTCCCATCACTTATTAGCTTCTGTCATTTGTTGGATATGTACTACATTAATGATCAGAACATATTCATTCTAAATTTTTTTTTTTTAGTATCTGAAAACATTCCAAGCATAAGCTAAACTGCCTTGAGATAAAATAAATAATCCTCAAAACAGTTTCAGTGACAATGGTCCCTGAACACTTCTGTGACTTTAGTATTAGATTTCAGATAATCACTAGAAACGTTCATGGGGCAAATTATAAAGTTCAAAATGAAGATAAACATATATAGTAAGGCAGACATCAATTACCAAATTTTCTGACTCCTTTTTTTGTTTGTTTGTTTATAGAATAAATTCAAAGGAAACCAACTTTAATTTCCAATAGCTCTATTCAGACATAAAATAAGAACTGTTTGTACACTCTGTTAGTGTCTGCAGAATTTAATGCAAGCATAAATTCTTCATCATTACAGCTCTGAAGTAATTATGATGTCTTGCCTCCATTAGTCCCTCACCTCTGTTTGTTACACTGTCTAACAATTCTTTGTGACTTTTGTTTCAGATTTTCCAACTAAAATTTGCTGGGGCCCAATATCTAAATGGAGTGGATACAACTGTGCAAAAATGCTTTTTTTGGCACCCAGTTTGAAAAAGCTGACCGCCTGCTGTAAGCTAGAAGTAAAAACTTTAATTCTGCTCGTCGATATCTGCTGATAGTTTATGTAGTAGTTGGCAAGAGGTTGAAAAAAGAACAGGAGTACTTGTGGCACCTTAGAGACTAACAAATTTATTAGAGCATAAGCTTTTGTGGGCTACAGCCCACTTCATTGGATGCATAGAATGGAACATATAGTAAGAAGATATATATATATATACACACACACACACAGAGAAGTTGGAAGTTGCCATACAAACTGTAAGAGGCTAATTAATTAAGATGAGCTATTATCAGCAGGAGAAAAACACTTTTGTAGTGATAATCAAGATGGCCCATTGAGACAGTTGACAAGAAGGTGTGAGGATACTTAACATGGGGAAATAAATTCAATATGTGTAATGACCCAGCCACTCCCAGTCTCTATTCAAACCCAAGTTAATGGTATTGCATATTCATTCAAGCTCAGCAGTTTCTCATTGGAGTCTGTTTTTGAAGCTTTTCTGTTTCAAAATTGCCACCCTTAAGTCTTTTACTGAGTGGCCAGAGAGGTTGAAGTGTTCTCCTACCGGTTTTTGAACATTATGATTCCTGATGTCAGATTTGTGTCCAGGAATCATAACACTGAAAAACCGGTAGGTGCCACAAGTACTCCTGTTCTTTTTCCGGATACAGACAAACACAGCTGCTACTCTGGAAGGAGTTAAAAGTAATCTGTGAGATACAGCACAGCCTAGTGGCTATTAATCAGCTTACAGCTTTAACACAGAATTTTCTATTGTTCCACAGAATATGTGCTACAAAATCCCCAAAGTTAACTCATTAGGGAACATCTGACTGAGAATCTAGCCTAACAAAAGCCTGGTGTTGGACTGTGCAGAGAGGAAACATCCAAATCATACTGTATTTTAAGACAATGTTCCTGTTAATTTCTTAAGGATCACTATGTGATGTAGAATCATTAAGCAACTTCAAGGTGAACTGAAATCCTCTTTGGTCCACCTTGGACAAAATCCTCTAGTCCTTATTCCAGCAAAGTTCCCATCAAAGTCAGTAGTGATCTTGTCTGATTACAATCTTCAGGAGTTAGCCCTAAACTATTTATTGTGAAAATACAGAAGGCAAGATGACCTGTGGAATTTAACCATAAAAAGATATAGTAGTACATGCAGGGGTGGATTAGCCACCGGGCCAACAGGGGCCCTGGCCAATTGGGGGCCCCCGGAAAAAATGTGTGCCCCCTCATCCTGACCTGCTCTTCCCGCCCGGCACTCCTGCTGGGGAGTGGAGTCAGGGCACAGGAGGCCAGGGCAAGTCCCTGCGCCCCAACCCCACTCCTGGCAGGAGTGACAGGCAGATGGAGAAGGGCAAGCTCCCTGGCAGGAGCACTGGGCGGAGCGGGTCAGGGTGCAGGGGTGCACATTTTTCCGGGGGCCCACCAATTGGCCAGGCCCCTAGCCTCGGGCCCCATTGGTCTAGTGGCTAATCCACCACTGCTGTTCACTCTGCATCGCTGCCTGCTACCACTGCTGTGCCATCCTTCACTCCGCTGCCATTGGCCGCTGTGCTGTCACTTTCTGTGCAATCACCCGCCTCTCTACTGCAACCTTTGCCATGTCCCATCACTTAACCCAGCTCTCAGTGATTTCACCAGTTACCATGGAACCTCACTGCTAGTGCAGGGTGGGCAGTCTCTTTCACTGAAACAGGGCCCCACAGAAGGTCTGAATCTCAGCACTTAGACCTAGTTATCAGTCATTTCAGCTCTAGTGACAAAACTAAGGACTCTCCCATTGAATCTAATCTGCTGTCTTTAAACAATTGAGGGGGGAGAGTCTAATGGCATCTAGGACTCTTAGGCAAAGCCTACACCACCAGCTAGGAGCACCTATCCCCCCCCCTCCCCCATCTCACTGGGATTTGGCATCCCTACCCACTGCTTAGCAAGTGTAGTTCAGCTGAGGGTTACTCCCATCAATCTGGGTGTGTTCAGTACAGTTCTGTTGCTCTTTACTCATACAATCCAGGATAAAAACATTTAATTACCTCTGCATACAAAGCGATTTGTAACCCACCACCAGCCAAAATTGATCACTTTGGCAACAAGACTTTGTGTGCTGAATACCTAGGCAGAGTAGGTGTGTTCATGTAAATATAGTCTGGTCCTGAAATATTATTCCCCCAGCTCATCCACGGAGAGCTTCATTCAGACCCTGCTTACACCTACAAGAACCAGGGGGACTGCAAGGCTCTGCTGCCCAAACACACTTGACTGGACCAAGGCCCCACCCCAAGCAGTAGAAGATCCTGAGGATGGTGGACCAAAGCAGTAGGCACCACAATCTCCAGTGGGGAGGCAGTTCAGACCACCACAGCCACTTCACAGCAACTCATGGGGAAAGAAATCCTAGCTGGGGGCATGGAAGGACCAAAACCCTGCTGCTCCTGCAGCAGCTCCTGGGTGGGGGCCCTCACTAGTGTGGAAGACAGCCTTTGCCACTACAATCCTGGCTTTCGCTCTCCAGCTGGGCCAAGGGAAGAGGGGGCTGCTTATCAATGCAGTAGGCTGCTCCTCTTGCACATCAGGATCTCCCTCCTCCCTGGTCTGTCATTGTTACTCCTTCTCTAGTGACCAAGGGAGAGGAGGAGAATCCTGGCTTCCTCCCATGTTTCCCTGATGGACCAGGACAGAGGGAGGGCATAGCCCACGGCTGGGCCACCTTGCTACTGCTGTCTCCTCTGCTACTCCTCTTTGGCTGGAGGAAAGGATGGTTCAAAACAAAGTCCCTGAGGTTGACATTAAGTCCCCCAACTTTCAGGAATGATGGTCCAGTGAGAAAAGGTCACCACACCCACCCTTCCCAAAGAGAGAGCCTTGTTTGTGGGTCTGGTTCCCTCTGACACCACTAACCCACAGAGGGCTCTTGACACCACACGGAGACCTATGCTGGGCTGACATAAAGTACCTCTTCACAGAGGGCCCACTGCTCAGGTGGTGAGGGAGGCTAAGCACTGGCCACCTAAAGAATAGCAGCAACAGGCTGGGGCACCCTGCTCCCAGGCCTGCCAGAGATTGGCTGTGGGTTGAAGAAGAAGTCATCGTTGCCCACTTGAAGAACAGTAGCAAACCCCCTGCCATCCCAGGGGAGGGCTTGTGTGGATAATCCTGCCACCACCACCCAAGCAGGGCCCAGGACCACATCAGTGGGTTGTGCCTAGGACACTGGTTTGCCTTAAGGCAGCTCTACTCAAGCTGCGTAAGCAGTGAACACTGCTGCCCAGTGCCCACTCTGTTTCAGATGCTATTAACACCATCAACTGCTGCCAGATAACCAAAGATCCCTGAACTCCTGTCTTGGCATGTTAAAAAGCCTTTCACTTCGCTGTTATGTGTGGTGGTGCAAATAAATGACTGAGAATAGAATAGCTACTGAAGCTAAACAGACAGAATGAACAAGAGAATACACAGGGTTTTCTTTTATATCAAATAAATTCTGGCAAACATTCTTGTCTTGTCTTAGTTTAGCAGAATCTGAAATACACACATTCTGCATAACACAAGAGGTATAAATTGAAATACAGTTGTAACTACGACACCATTTCAGGGTCATTCTGTAGATTAAACAGTATGCATTTGTACCTAATTTTCACAAAGAAATTTAGCACAAATTGGCTGGCCATTTGATTATAGCAAGTATATGAATGGATGAGTCTATCATTCTTCCTTATAATTATGCGTATAGTAAAGTGCATTTTGCATTCGTACCCATGCAAAATCAGTCTGTTTATTATTTCAGTGATAAAATTCCAGTTCCTTGCAGCAGCAGTTCTTGTGTTCTGCGATGATTTGAAGCAATCATCTTATTCTGAAATTCCTTAACCATCCTATTTCATTAACAAGGTGACATTCATACACAGGAACAAGTTCTTCTCAGAAGGACCAGAGAATAATCTTAAAAGAATCATATATATTCCCTAAAACAAAGAAAGAAAAAAACCACACAATCTTGTTGCCACTTTTTGGCCCAGAAACTCGGGGGGAGAAGACTAGGATGAGGAGCCCAGGGAGTGGGGAGAAAGGTCTGGCACAGGATAGGCTGGAGTTAAGAATGGCAGAAGGAATCAGGCTTGGGAGAAAACAGAGACAGAAAGGTATGAGACCACCAGAACACACTCCCCTCCAGAGCCTGGAATGGAAACCAGTTCTTGAGTCTCAAAACTCCACTGCTGTCAGCAAAAAGCTGTGAAACTCACTGGCAAAGTGTCTGTCTAATCAGTTCTAGTGTTGGTCCACATAGAGAATGGCAACCTACTACTGCTATCAGTTACTCCATTTGCTCAAGTGGCAGAGGTCTGTGTGGTGGATCTAAAAGGTCCAGCCTTGCTGATGACTAATGTGGGTGTCAGTACGATGAGATTTCTATTTTTTCAGTTAAGTTTTTAAAAAACTTGGGAAATTACATTAAAAAGCCACTGTGTTAAAAGGACCTTATTAAGGTTGCAACATCAAGCACTCAGATGTTAGGAAATGAAGAATTAAGATTACCTGTGAATTACCTTTTTGTGCATATGTATTATGATGCAGCCTTTAATTACATGATCACATATTTTTTGCACAGGATCCTGGTCTCATGTGGTCACTGGTGGGCCTGCTCCAATGGTGGAGCAGGTTTGTGAGTAAAGGAGACTATTGTCTGTAGGATACCTGCCTTATGTAGTGCAAAAATTGGAAGGTGTGAATGAGGAAGGGAACTGTAGGAAGAGAAAAGGTGGGAAGAATCCCACTGACTACAGACTAGGGACTGAATGGCTAGGCAGCAGTTCTGCAAAAAAGGACCTAGGGGTTACAGTGGATGAAAAGCTGGGTATGAGTCAACAGTGTGTCCTTGTTGCCAAGAAGGCCAATGGCATTTTGGGTTGTATAATTAGGGGCATTGCCAGCAGATAGAGGGACGTGATTGTTCCCCTCTATTCGACATTGGTGAGGCCTCATCTGGAGTACTGTGTCCAATTTTGGGCCCCACACTACAAGAAGGATGTGAAAAAATTGAAAAGCGTCCAGCGGAGGGCAACAAAAAAAACATTAGGGGACTGGAACACATGATTTATAAGGAGAGGCTGAGGGAACTGGGATTGTTTAGTCTGCGGAAGAGAAGAATGAGGGGGGATATGATAGCTGCTTTCAACTACCTGAAAGGGGGTTGCAAAGAGATGGATCTAGACTGTTCTCAGTGGTAGCAGATGACAGAACAAGGAGCAATGGTCTCAAGTTGCAGTGGGGGAGGTTTAGGTTGGATATTAGGAAAAACTTTTTCACTAGGAGGGTGGTGAAGCACTGGAATGCGTTACCTAGAAAGGTGGTGGAATCTCCTTCCTTTGAGGTTTTTAAGGTCAGGCTTGACAAATCCCTGGCTGGGATGATTTAGTTGGGGATTGGTCCTGCTTTGAGCAGGGGGTTGGACTAGATGACCTCCTGAGGTCCCTTCCAACCTGGATATTCTATGATTCTATGATTCCATGTGGTTTTGTGGTTAAGGCAGTTCAGTGCTGCACTGGGGAACTCAGTTTTCTCTCTGCCTCTGCCACAGAGTTTCTGTGTAATGCTGGCTAAGTCACATAAGTCTGGATCCACAATAACTAGGGCCCCACCAAATCACCATCCATTTTTGTAAATTTCACAGTCACAGCATTTTAAAAATCTTGAATTTCATGGTTTCAGGTATTTAAATCTTAAATTTTATGATGTTGTAACAAACCATGAATATGTATTTTAAAATGGCAAAATGTAAACATGTAAAGCCCTTAAGACCCAGTATTTCTCAAACTGGAGGTCCTGACCAAAAAGGGGATCACAAAGCTATTGTAGGGGGGTCATGGTATTGTCACCTGTACTTCTGCACTGTCTCTGTGTGACAAAGGGGAACTTGGAAATGGGGAAGAGGAGAAAAAGAGACATGGAAGCGTGACCTGGAAATAGGGAGAAGAGGAAAAGAGAGAATATCTGAAGTGAGAAGGACACCATCTAGAGAACAAGTAAGAGGAAGTTATTTTTGCAGGCAGTAAGGGAGGGGAGGAGAGAACCTGAAAGATGGAATGAGATGGTTATAGATGGAAGACAAGGAAATAGGTGGGATGGTACCTACTTAATGTAAACCACCAAATGTTAATAAGGAACATATAGGGTCATTAGAGTGATACATACATTAATCCCTTTGTCTATAGTTCTTTTTCAAAAAAGAACTAGATAAATTCATGGAGGATAGGTCCATCAATGGATTAGCTAGGATGGGCAGGAATGGTGCCCCTAGCCTCTGTTTGCCAGAAGCTGGGAATGAGTGACAGGGAAAGGATCACTTGATGATTACCTGTTCTGTTCATTCCCTCTGGGGCACCTGGCATTGGCCACTGTTGGAAGACAGGATACTGGGCTAGATGGACCTTTGGTCTGACCCAGTATGGCCATTCTTATGTTCTATAGTGGCAGTTCGTTTTCTTATTTACACAATATCCATAATCCTTCCAATATGTTAAGAAGGATTTGTTTGTTTGCTTGCAATAGACTTGTTATATCACCTGTGCTAATTTTATTTCTTAAAATAAAGTTTTCAGGAAACTATAATATAGAGGGACAACTTGAGTTCATCTACCACTCAAGTAGAGTCACTCCTGAGGTAAGAAAAAAACAAAAATTTCGTAAGGAAGTGTTGTGTACAGTTTTGGTGCAATACTATTTTCAGGGGAAGTATACATGTAAGCAATCTATTTTGCTAATTTTTGTAACCTTTAACATATATATTAGATAAACTGTATATATACACTTTAGTGAGTACCTTCGGCAATTGCATCTTTAAACCGCTAAGTTCAAACGTCGTATTGACCGTCTCTGCAAAATAGGGACAGTTATAAAAGAAGTGGTTATTTATTCTTGGTCCTTAACAATGATAAAGTGAACCATCCAGTTAAATTTCCATTGACTTCAGAGGGAGTTGGATAGAGACCTTATTTCTTACTCTATTTAGGTTTTCCTTAAAGTGCAGAATGCAACTAGGAAATTTGTCTGACTTGTGTCAGTGGTCTGGACATCATTAGTGCATACATTCAAAATGTAACTGACACTATATAAGTCTGCCCCTCTACTAATCTACTTGTCTCTGACACCTTCATCCCCAGCTCCCTTTGCTCTGCCAATGATGCCGCCTTTAACACATTTATCTGCCTCTCCCACAACCATCTTTGCACATTCTGTCACACCTCCCTCTTGGTAAACTGAATTAAACCATAAGGCCACCACCCTCACCTCCTCCAAACCTACTCCTACCATGATGCCTTCAAAGGATTAGCCTGAAATAATAGTTAGGTTGAGGATTGGTTGGGAGTAGCAGATATTCTTTTTTAAAAGGCAAATGTTGATTGCATGATTTATCCCTCATCCTTCATTGCTTGTACTCTTGTATTTTGAGTTCTTTGAGTCTGAGACTGCATCAGGACTCACGTTATATGTTTGGCTAGTTCCTAGCATATTGTTAGTACTACCCTAACCATAATAAATTTAATTGTGTATGTTTGTGTGGTATGACTGGGTGTCTTTAGGTCACATCCTTCCCCCCAGCACCCCAGTGCAGAAGATTTGGAGCCCTGCTACTTGTGCTGAGGTCTTTGTAGTGCTACCAATATTTAGAGAAGTTTACAAGGGACAATTCTCCAAATAAATTGGGGTTCTAGGGGCTATTATAGTTCCTAGGGTCTGTAAGGTCTGCAGGTGCATTCTGGCAAAGTTTGAGACTTGCCTGACATTTAAAAAATGTTAACAATGTAATTTATTCTTTGTGAGGCATTATCCCCATTTTACAGATGTGGAAACTGAAGCCCAGGGAGGTTAAAGCCAAAAGTTTTAACCTTGGTGTGTGTGTAACCTTGGTGTGTGTATATATATTTGCTCAGCACCTCTGAATATCGATTTAGGGGTGTGTGTGTGTGTATACAGAGGTGCTGAACAAATGCAGCTCCCACTGACATCAGAAAGAGCCACAGACTCTTAGTTCCTCTGGATTTAGTTGCCTAAATTTAGGTGCTCAAGTTTGAAAGCTTTGGCCTGCGTGACTTGAACAATGCCAAAAAGAGTCTGTGTCATAGCTAGGATTAGTCGCTTGCTAGTTGCCCTCAGTCCCTTGCTTCGGCTACTGAATCATGCGGCCTTTACTGCTGTTGAGCTGCCCCCTTCTGGCTGCCCAGCAGTTGCACTGGCTCAGTTAGAGGCAACCAGCTGGTATCAAATTTGTGGTGTCTCTAGTGCTATCCATGGTAGTCTGCGCAGAAATTCTCCTTTACTTTTCTAGGTCCCCCGAATTAGGGGGCCCGCAAAAACTGGATGTGGTTAGCATGGTTTTATATCATCATCTAGAGCTATTCACAGACACAGAAATATCCCTGTCCGTGCTGGTCAGTTAAACAGATTTCTAACAAACCTGCCAGCAACAACAATGTTTAAACAGGATTGTAGCTAGCAGGGTTCTGTTCCCTGTTTGGCAAAGGAGAACCCCCAAGTTTATGCTTACCTCCCTTCAGAGTTCCACAAAATGAGTAGTCATCATCAAATCCATGGCAAATAACTTCTTTCCCTTGAAATACATTTGCAGCATCATACCATAAATCCATGCTGCCCTCCAAAAAGATTATATCACTCCCTATAAAAAATAAGCAAAACATTAACTGATTAAATCTCCACAAAACACATTCACTCCCTACATGAGGTGAGAATCATGCATACTAATGGTGACTAGAATATTAAACTTAGTACTCACATAGGCTGCAACTCAGCAAGGTGTTTAAGTATGTGGCTACTGGTTGGGAAATTATTCTTCACTCCCCACAAAAAACAATTATTCAGATTTTTTGGAGGGTGTTGTCGAAACACCAAAAAAAGGGGGGGGGGATTTGGTTTAAAATGGCAAATTTTCAAAGTTTTTGGACAAAAAAAAATTACATGAAAATTGGAGTTTCCACTGAAAGAAAACTGTTATAACTGAAAAGCCATTTTCCATCCAAGAGAAATAAGGAAAGTTTTCAACCATCTCCAGTGTTTAGACATATGCACCCAAGTTGTTCCACTGAAGTTAACAAACTACACAGGTGATTAAAATTAGATGCATGCTTAATTACATTGAAAATATAAAAAACTGTAGCCCCCAATTCATCAAAGTGATGTATGAACATAAATTAATTGAATCCAGCAACCCCACAAGTTAAATATCATCACCCTCACCCACCCCCATTTTATATACTTGAATGAAAGGCACTGTGGAAGCAAAGAACAACTGTCTGGTGCTACTTTTTAGGTATTTATAAAGACACAAAGTGGAGTAGCAGAGCCAGGAAAATTATTAATAAATATATATACTGTCTAAGTCAGAGTGTAAACTAAAATTAATCAGCAGTTTTACTTTGTGGGGGAATGCTTTTAATTAAGTTATAAAACTGTTCCTTCTTCTTAGGATGCCCACAATCTGGACACTGGGTTGCTTCTCCTTCTGTTTAATCAGGTAGCTCAATGAATTGGTAGAAGACTTCAATTCCTTTTTCTCCTCGGCTATAGTAGCACTCTATCTTCACACAGCGGTCTTATCTGTACTTCTGCAGGAATCAGGTGCTACATTCAGCATCTCAACTGTCTAAAGAAGGTGGCTGCTGCTAAAAAGAGGAAACTCAGGAGGTGATCATTACACAGAGGAGGTATGGTACTGGTTGTAGCAGGCCCTGTGTCTCTCTCCCTTTGAAAAGATCCACCAAGATCACATACCCCCTATGAGGGGACTGCTGGGTGACACTGAATCACGCCATGAAGGGCCTTGGGTAGACGACAATGTCCGAACACATTTTTAAAGGTGTTAAATCCTATCTACACTTGTGTTCAAAATTGTGAGTTAAAATGTGTTAGCTAACACATTTTTAAATGCAATCTATTTTTCTAGTTTAGACAGGGTCTTGAATAGAATGAGGAAAATCTCAGACACATAGGAACAGGCACTCTCCTGGCACTTCCACTCTCCTCCTAGCACATATAGCATCTGTCAAAAGTCTCTTCTTTCCCTATAAACAGTCACTCCATCTTATTCAGTTATGAAGTGTAAGTTCTAAGGACCAAACTTTGTTGTGTATTTTTAATGTTTTTCATATTATTGAGGCACCAGTCAAGGCTCCATAATGAAGACTGATTTGAGTTTGGCATTTAATGCATGAATATACTTTGAGCCCAGTTTTCTAAATTGTATGTGAGCAATTGTGTGCCTAATTGATGCACAATAGTCATGAATGGTAAATTGAGTAACTGCATGAGCAAATGGCAATTGTTTGTCTAACTGAATTTGCACACACATCTACTTTATTAGTGTGTAAAATGATGGATGGTAATTGCATGCACAAGTGAGTCACATTTTAGTGCATACATCTTTACATAAATGTGTTAGAAAATCAGGTTCTTTGTATATCATCATGATTTATCTTTTCATGTTCAATCATGAAAAATTTCCCCTAAATATCCTTCTCATTTAGAATAGAGGTTTAGAGATAGAAGTGACCTATCCTCGTGCAAATACAGAATTTAATCCCCCAAATTTGATGGAAATAACAAAAAGTGACTTACTTGGAATCCATAAAAGAGTAATTTTCCAACGACCTTCACTAAAGGAACAAGGGACTATACCAAGGAAGAAAACATGGTCCACAGAATCTAAATTAAAAAATATGTAATAAAGTCAGCATGAATAGCACTCTCCATCAAAAAATGTTTGTAAATGATCCTTCTAGATGCCTTCTTAGAGGCAGAAATAACATCATTCCACTTTTGAAATTAAGTTTTAAAAACCGTAGGTTAATTGGGTTGAGGATATTTGTGACAAACACATGCTGTTGTAGTTATGTATGTTTTGAAGACATGCATTTTCCACACTATCGCTGAAGGGAGGCTATTAACACGATTGTCAGACAAAAATATCCCCATCCACACTGGTCAGTGAAACTGTCTTAGAACTTGGTTGTCACTAGCATGGCTTCCAATGTAATAGAACCTTAGTAGATTATTCTGTACCATGGTTTGTTTTCTGAGTGACCACTGCTGTACTTTCTACAAGATGCAGATGTCAGTGTAAAATACAGGATATAGTACAAAATGCACTGGCTGTTCAGTGTTGGAAAGCCTATTATTTCACATTTTAGAGGGAATCCAGTTCAATACTTTTCTTTTAATGACCGAAATCATGTCAGTTTAGTTTACTTGTACTGTCTTTGCAGGACATGATGTACTATTTTATCCATGATGAAAACGTAATCTGATGGAGTATCTGGGGAATGCTGAGGATATGGAATAGGTTGGGGTATAATGTACTGTGGTATTTACTGTTTGCTATGCTAACTGTTCTTACTGTACTATGCTGCTGGCTGATATTCCTAAGAAATTGTAAATTGTATTGTCAGGGAGCATAAAACTCAAGCATAGGCACTTCTTAACATTTTAACAAAAAGAAAATAAATGCAAAGCAGTTGTAACAGCAAATATTCTCTCTCTGTCTTAGGTTACAGCTCATTCTTACTAATAATACAGCACGTGTGATGTGTATGGAACTGTACAAGACATGACCCCTGCCCTGTAGAATGTACAGTCCAAGGCCCTGATCCTGCACCAAGCACCATGTGGGCAGACTCCTCTGCCCACACAGAGTTCTGTTGACATCAGCGGGGTTCCTTTTGGGTGACTCAGTGCCAGATCATGGCCTAAATTAGAGCCTATGTACCACAGCAAAGGAGTAGGGGGAAAAGAGGAGAAACAATTGAGAGCAAAGTGGAAAACTGCCCTCCCTCCCCAATTTCTTTTTCAACTTGTACTTTGTTAGCTGTTCCTATTGGCCTTGGAAACTGGTGAAACTGTGGAACTCACATGAAGTGTTCCTATTTTCCATACAGCTAAACTTCAAGTTCTATGAAAATCTATCTCACAGTAAATTTCTTGCATTTCTTGTTCAACTTGATTAATCACAGCACTGGAGAAGCACATTGAAATTTGTCTTTTAAGTTTTTCCGAAGTCACCAACACACATGCCTGTCCTGATCAGAAAAGCTAACCTCTCTCCCACCCCATACCTTCCCCAACATGGACTGTGGTAATATCTATGGATGCACAGTGTAATTACTATCATACAGAAATTGCAGAATACCAGAAAAATATATACACGCAAGCTACCGAAAAAGAGCAAAATTATTCTTAAATCTCTAGTGGATCATTTCTTTATCTTTCTGGACTCCTCAAAGAGGCAAATACAAGAGAAAGGAAGACAAGTGTTTGCTGAGAGGATATCCATTCTTGTGCAAACACCACTGAAAATAAAACAATCCTTTACTTACCACAAAAGGAATATGATATTTCTACATCTGAGGATCTGCAAAGCACCTTTTTTCCTTGTGATTCAGTGAATCGAGAAGTAAACAGAATGAAAAAAACAAGCTGAAACATGCTTGCATATCTTCAAGCCTTCCAAAAATAAAGGGGGTACTATCTGGGTGAATATTTTACTTGAACACTTTGTTTTCAGGAAAGAGGAACAAAGTTAGGCTGAGTCATCACAAGCCACATGATTACTGGGTTTGTTTTGGTTTTTTTGTTACATTTCCTCAAATTCTCTGTACACTTAACTTGATATTTTACTGCATTTATGCCAGCTATCTTTATAATAAAGTTATGGGAAGAAGGGGAAATTCTGCATCTACGGTTACATTTTTCCAAGGTGATCACATTTTGGATTGTATTAGCAATTTGGTTTTAAGCCACAAACGAATAATGAAAGAGAAAATATTTTACACCAAATAGGGAAGTTGAAAAAAAAATCTAAAATAGATGATTACCACAATTACGTAAAAGGAAGTGTAGTTGATTTGTCAGAAGTAGCATCTCAAAGCATAATTACCACGGCTGAGGAGAGCTTTGCTGTGTAACATAAGAAATTTAGAAAATCTTTATTTAACTGATTTTAAAAAGTTCACTTTCTTATTAAGATACATTAGCCAAAGATTGTCCAAGAACATATTTCACACATAGCTGATCATCACTAGGAAATCTTAGTATTCGTAATAAAATTGTGAGGAATCTAATTAGATGACAATGCCAAACCTAGCTGGGACAAGGCTTAACCATGACTAGCTGACATGATACAGAAGATGACCGTGTCAGCTAACTCATCACAATTTAACACAATTAAATTTAGTGAAGACAAAGCCTGTAGACACATGAACTTGATATCATTTAGCAGCATGTCCTCTACACATGGCTATTCCTTTAGCCTTCCCCCCCCCCTTCTCTTTTGATTTCTCTCTTTGTATTTATCATTACTGTTCCTGTACTCTTGCCTGAAGAATGCACTTTGTAAAAGAGCACCAGGCCCAAGTACTGAATAACTGGGAATTAGAGTGAGTAGGAGAAGGACATCATGCATGGTATAATCAATAAGAGGCATGAAACTGACCTAGCTATTTTTTTTATAGGAAAGACCCCTCGACCATCAAACATGGGGCCCCTGATGCAGTGCCCACAAGTAGTTAACCAACATTTAAAAAATAAATGAAAATAAAACTCCTCACCTCTACATTATTCCCTCTTCTATGTTTCTCACTGTGTTGTGCCTGCTCTCTCTTACAATATACTAGAAGTTCTTTGGGGCAGAGATTTTCCTTATTTCATGTCTTCCTCAATAAGCACATTGTTGATGCTTACCAATGAGATTTGGAATATGATGCAGATGAGTGTTAATAAACTCAGACAACGCCCAAGTCACCAAGGATGGGGCAAACTCAGTCATGTGAGGCCAATGTCTATTGTCTTCAAAAGAAGGATGGCTTCTGAGATCTGAGGATCTGTCTTATAACTGTCTTATCCGACTGCATTCTAATGACTATTTGCTAAACTGAAGTCTATAATATTTCTATAATCTCATTAATTTTGGCACTTTTTATTTCTGCCAGACTTAGTGAAGAGCTTAAGGTCAAGATTTTTAAAAATAGAATCCTAACTTTAGGCTTCTAAATCTATTCTAGGCTCCTAAATAAGTGTCTTGATTTTCCAGTGGTCTGAGCAGCCAACAGCTCTCATTGAGTTCAGCAGAAGTTGTTGTGTGCTTAGTATTTTGGAAAATCAGATGACTTATTTAAGAGCCTAACTTTATGCTAGAATTTAGAAAATCATAGCCTACATTCCAGATTTAAGACTAGTTTGAAACCAGTAGGCCAAAATTTTCAAGCACCTTGAGTATTATAGTTCTCTTAACTGTACTTTCTATCTACAAAGACAAGACAAAAATTTTATGCAACATATTTCACTTTCGCCGATTACCTCAATTCTGAAAACTAGACTGGATCAACACTCACTCAACAAAATCAAGACTAATTCAGTTCTCAGCTATCTACATGGGTATCAAAGCTCATCACCACCTTTAAGAGAGGAAACTATTGTCTGACTGAAACTATATGTACAAATTTCTTCCAAATATATTTAACCTGGAACCTTGTATTAATGATATTACTATTTCATCACAATTAACCTTCGTGATTCTTAAATATTTCTGCATGCCCTTCATAGATCATAAATTGTACTTATCACTTAGCAAAAGTTATTTCTATAGTGTAAATTCATATATTTAATTATTTTTTGTTGTTCTGCACATAAGAAATCAATTAAAAGATTACATACAAAAAAGCAACTTTGGTAATTTTATCTGACCCGCATACCATAGTATCTGAGTGCCTCACAAGTATTAATGAATTTCTTTCACAACACATGAGTAATGTAGAGGCGTATTTTACCCATTTTACATATGGGGAACAAGCACAGCGAGATTAAAGGCTTGAATTTCAGAGGTTGTTTCACAAGGCATAATACGTGGAATCCAAGGGTGTTGGAAAACAACTTTCATGGTGACCCCAAAGTGGTAAGAGAGTGATAGAATCCATTAGATGCCTGGAACACTTGGTAGGAACAATGGGGACTTCAATAAAAATACGAGATACTACCAACTAATTGTTTGTTAGTGAAGTACATTAATTTCTAAAGGAGATTACAAATTTCAAGTAAGAAACAACAGCTTGCTCTAAAATATTTTCAAAACTATATGAAGATCACTAGAGTTACTCTGGATTGATGATGTTTAAGATCAGGGGCATGCACAAGGGGGAGTGGTAAGCAGGAACATGAGCTCCCTCAATAATCGGTGTGGGCACAGAACTCCTCCAGCTCCAGGGCCACTGCGGGGAGAGCTTGCTCCGCTGGGCCTATGGGGAGAGTGAGCTTCTCTGGCCCCAGGGGGAGCTGACAGATCCTCTGGTCCCGGTGCCGCAGCAGGAGCACAGAACATGCCCCTCCAAAACCCATCAAATTTTTATTCCTGCGCACACCCCTGTTCAAGACTGAAATTAAGTTTGTACACATGGCTTTCAAGTTTGTTTTCCTTTAGAGGATTTTTAAACAATACAATAGGATGGAACTATTTCTTGATTTCTGAATTTCTGTAGTTTTCTTAACTAATATCTATATTACAAAGTACATGTACATATTTTAGCTATCATGTAATTATATATTGTGATATGTATGCATCCCGTGTAATCCATATCCACCATATATTTATTTTCGAAAATTACTTTTGCAGTGAAAAAAAAATCAGTTTTGCTTTAAAAACAGCAAAATATGTAATTAAATAAGATAAGTGGCAGAAATGCATAAGAACATAAGAATGGCCATACTGGGTCAGACCAAAGGTCCATCCAGCCCAGTATCCTCTCTACCGACAGTGGCCAATGCCAGGTGCCCCAGAGGGAGTGAAACTAACAGGTAATGATCAAGTGATCTCCCTCCTGCCATCCATCTCCACCCTCTGACAAACAGAGGCTAGGGACACCATTCCTTACCCATCCTGGCTAATAGCCATTAATAGACTTAACCTCCATGAATTTATCCAGTTCTCTTTTAAACCCTGTTATAGTCCTAGCCTTCACAACCTCCTCAGGCAAGGAGTTCCACAGGTTGACTGTGCGCTGTGTGAAGAAGAACTTCCTTTTATTTATTTTAAACTTGCTGCCCATTAATTTCATTTGGTGGCCCCTAGTTCTTATATTATGGGAACAAGTAAATAACTTTTCCTTATTCACTTTATCCACACCACTCATGATTTTATATACCTCTATCATATCCCCCCTTAGTCTCCTCTTTTCCAAGAGGGAATGAACAGACAGCAGATTAAATATGTTTTCATATTTGTAATGGCAAAAAGAAACAGAAGATAGGGGAAGGATTTAGGGAACAGAATGTGTCATAATAATAGATTTTTTGGAATACTAAAATAAAAGGGTAAGATAGAAGGCAGTCTCTCTTTATTAATTATTGTGAGTCCTATTGTAACACTGAGCACCCCTATAGTCACACCCTACACACAATTGTAATAATCTTTGTACAAAATATGCCTTGTGAGATATTGTTTGAAAACTAATAACTCACTACTAACAACCTTGTATGATGTATGTGGTGGGTATTAAGAGTTATGGACCTATGCTGGAATGATAACTAAAATGTATTCAAACCAGGCACATCAGGGGGAGTTGGTAAACAGGACTGCTTAGACAAATGAACATGTATTTGATTCTGTGACCAGCCCAATCTTTGGCAAAGACAATGAAGGTTCATTTTTACATATTAGGTAAACAAAGCTATTAAGCTAACAAGCGGGGAAGAAAGAGCATGAAGCTTCCTTCACCATCAGACTCTATGTCATCTTCCTTACAGCTTAAGTAAACTTTCCTTTGACAGGTAACCCTCAGAAGAATCGATTTCAAAGGTTTACTGGTCTATACAGACAGGGGGCTGAATGATACCTCAAGTGATAAGCAATTGAATCAACTTATTGAATACAATATTAGCACATCAAATAAGGTATTTTATGAATGACTGTAACATGACTGGTGATTTAAATCATTGTAAAATGTATGTATTAATACTATATAAGGAATAATGGATACTAAATAATGGAAACTAATTTATATTAGGCTGTACAGACTGCCCAGACAGGAGAGAATGTCACAGCTATCTACCTATCTGCTATGTAAATTAAGCATGGCAGAATCAGAAACAAAAGAAGCCCTATTTATATACAGGGAGAACAGCAGGTGGTCAGCTTCCTGGTGGACACAGCAAGCTAAGCACACAGGAGGTCTTCCTGCCTCCTGAAGCAAGGTCACTGAACTTTGGGAGATGTAAAAGCAGGTAGAGAAGCCATCTTTGGCATCCATTACTAGACAGAGACAAGGGAACAGAGCCCTTGCAAGCTGAGAAAGATGGATCATTCAACCAATGGAAGGGGTTGAAATCTCTCGAACTGAATATAGGTGAGAAAGCTGTTTAGGTAAAGATCTTTCACTGAAGGCAGCAAGGGAAGCCAGTATCTTGTACTTTTGTGGAAGGTCCTGACTGAGAAAAAGTCACACATGGCTGGGAAGAATGACTGGTGAGAAAAAACATCTTGAACAAAGCCTGTACCT